GCGCTCCGCTGTGCGCGGTCCAGGGGCTGGGAGCCAGCCGCTCACAAGGAAAGCCTTTTCGCTGGGGGATGGGGGAGGAAATGATGGGCTATTAACTTTTGCTTAGGTTGGGTTCTGATGGCAAGTAAGTTTGCCCGCTTGGCAGAATCGCCGTGGGTTTGCACCGCCTTGATGAATGGTGGGTGCATGGTGCTTAAAATCAATCGCGCGGCTGGTCTTCACGTTTCCTAGTAACAGGAAGTTTTTAAGTCCTTGGCACAGGAGTCCTGCTCTTTCGGGATCAGGATCCCTCCACACAGTCAATTAAGGCTTTATTTAGTTTCGTCCTGGGTCAAATGCACTGAAAGGGGATTGTAGGGATAAAATAGATGCTAACACCTCCAGATGTCTTACTCTGTTCTTTTTGTTTAAAATGTATATATATATATATAGGTCAACACCCTGACATTTAATAAGAAGTCATTCATGTAACACAGGGCAGAGGCAGTACTTGAGAAAAGCAGCCCAGTGAAGGAAAACATCTCAGTAGTTAAATTGTGGTAACAAAAGTGTCCGCTGAAAGTATCAGTTTGGAATTGCAAAGCAACCCACAATGTATCCCAGTCATTGAGTTTCTTCAAATTCTAAACTCTTGGACATAAACATGAGTCAGTTGGGCTATGTCAATATTTAGCAGGAACATGAGGTCAGCGGTCCTGTTACAGCAAAATGGAACAGTCACATCAAGAAATATGCTCTGCTTTTTTACTGGGGATGGAAGAGAACATTGGGTCCAGTTCTGGAATTGCTAATATCTGAACGCTGTGCTGTTTCCTGTATTTGTTTGTTTGTTTGTTTGTTTGTTTTCATGAGAAGATTTCACTGTGGAATTTAAATTACATATTTGGTTAATGTCTGATGGAAGCCACCATGGTTTATCCGACTGACATTTTATGTTCTTGGCTTCTGGGCACAAAGTTGACTGTGGGCCACACAGTCAACAGGCTGCCTCACTCGCTACCCTGGGCTTTTCCTTGGCTTTGCTCTTCAGCGTGGTCTGGCTACCATGTAGATTAGGGGTGTCGAACTCAATTAGAGAAGGGCCAAAATCTAAAATCCAGCCTAAATCGCGGGCCGAATGGTTTACTGAACAGTCATAAACTGTCATTGTGATGGAAACGCAGCGGAGTGCAGTGATGACAGCGCGGTGCGGGCCACGTTGCAAGGCCTGGCGGGACGGATTTGGCCCGCGGGCCTTGTGTTTGACACATGTGATGTAGATGAATGGCTGTATACTTCCCTGTTCCTCCCCTCTCCCTCCCCATCAGGGTCAGGGCCAGCAGACCTCCTGCAGCACCCTCCCTCACCCCCCCCCAACCCCGAAGACTAACCTAGATGAGGGGTGGGACCTCCCTACCCCCCAATGCAAGCTCGGCCTTGCCGGACCCCACCTGTGCACGAACTCGTGCCCTGAGCCTCTAGTTCTAGTTATAATGTAGCTAAATCACCAATGATTTGGAGTTAATACTACTTAAGGAAAAGTACCGTAAGCTCCTCCCACGCATGCATAAAGTCTCGTTTCTCTTTCCCTCCTCAGTGTCCATCACACAGTTGAGTTCATGAATACCATACTAGATGATTGGCGTATGTTTTACTCAGAACTCTTCCAGATGCCATATGCTATACTCGTAAACCCGAGTCAAACTAACAAGCGAAAGAAAGGGACTGTATTAGCTTGTGTAACTGGAAACTTGAGTTCTTGTCTCAGGGAATCGAAATACTTAAAATATACCACTGGAACTCTTCTGTGTCCCCGTTTCTTGCTTGCGTTTCTGTGTCTGGGCTGTCTTCCATCCTATTGAAGGCATCTTCCTCCTCACAGCAGGTGGAAGGAAGTGTGGTAGGTTCCATCATCCCAACTTAAAATGTTAGGCATGTCCTCTTTATCTCCCACTTCCATGTATAAATCTCAAAGAAGGATTCTGACTGGCTCCGCAGAGCTTGTATGCCATCCCTAAACCAATCAATGTGACCAGAGGAACAGAGAACTGTGAATAGCTCAGACAGAGTCATATGCCCGCTTCTATGGCCAAAGGAAGAGCATTGCTCCAAATGGAGGAAATTTTTTTATGTAATTCTTTTTTTTAATATATTTTATTAATTTTTTACAGAGAGGAAGTGAGAAGGAATAGAGAGTTAGAAACTGCGATCAGCTGCCTCCTGCACACCTCCTGCTGGAGATGCGCCCACAACTGAGGTACATGCCCTTGACCGGAATCGAAGCTGGGACCTTTCAGTCTGCAGGCCGATGTTCTGTCCACTGAGCTAAACTGGTTAGGGCTATCTCATTCTTTTAAAATGGGCTCTTTCCAGCCAGCATCAAACCATGGGCATCTCTAGGGTCTTATAGCTGGCACAGATGCTATGAGATTGGAGGCAAGAGAGAGGCCTACGACAAGAAGTAAAAATATGAACTGGGACGCCAACTCTAAGATTGAACTCCACTCCATACGCACAGTCCATGTGCCGGTGGCAATAAGAAGTACCAAGCCTTGAGGCTGGACGTGGGCAACTTCTGGGGCTCAGAGGGCTGGACTCACAAAGCAGGGATTATTGATGTCCACAATGCATCCAGCAATGAACTGGGAAGGACCCTAGTGAAGAACTGCATCGAGCTCATGACAGCTCATGGTACTGACAGTGCTGTGAGTCTCACCATACACTGCCCTTGGGCCACAAGAAGGGGGACGCTGACTATTGAGGAGGAAGAGATTAAAAAAAAAAAAAAAAAAAAAAAAAAAAAAAGATCAGAGAGAGTTCAGAAGAAATGTGATGAGATGAAAAGGGATGCCAAAATCAGCAGTCTTCTCAAGGAGCAGGACCAGTTCTTTCGTTCATCACTTCAAAACTAGATGGCTCTGTGCTCCAGGGCAAGGAGCTGGCATTCTGTCTAAGGAAAATCAAGGCCCAGAAAGGCAAAGGAATCCTCTTCCCTCCTATCTTAGCTCGTGTAATAAAGGTGTTTACTCAAGAAAAAGGGAGGGGTGGGCTAGCTGGTTTGGCTCAGTGGATAGACTGAAGGGTCCCGAGTTCGATTCCATTCAAGGTGGACAGACCAAAACACCTCAGCATGAATATTGTGAAAGTTCAAAATAAGTAATATATGGGAAATGTTCTCAGAGCGCTTCAACAAGAGAAATGGCGGAGTTAGGTAAAGATGACTCTTCTTCATTCTTCGTGAAGATCAAACCTTTAAAAGTTGGGGAGTGTCTTAAGTATTTTAAACTATTCCTGGTCACAACTTTCCATTTAATGAAGTATTGCAGGTGCTCTAAAATTCAGAAAACTTTGGATTGTTTTCTCTCAGTCAGATTATTGTATATCTAATCTGCTTTACTCTTTGAATTTCACATCGTACAGATTGGAGATGTATTCCTCTGGAAATACATTTAGAACAAATAAAAACAGTGGATAATATTGTGACATCATATGTTTCTCTTTCCTAAAAAATGGTTAGCCTGAATGAAGTGCTGTTGGGTGTTAAGGAAAACATTCTTTTATAGGGTAGGAAGTCGGACAAAATTAGTTTCCACAGGGTTGACCAGGATAGGGGGCATGTCAGTGATTGAACCCAACTCAATAACCCCAGTGGAAATATCAGCAATTTATGTTTCACCAACAAAAACCAGCCTGTTACTCTGAAAATACCACCTTTCAGTCCTTTATGCCACTATCAGGGTTCATCTGACCAAGAATGTCCATTTTATTCATTGTCTGAAATGCAAAAAAATTTCCCCATGAAATCATTTAATTATTACTTCAAATTCTAGTGTCAACCCCAAAAATACAACTTCCTGGGGTATAATCTTATACCAGCAAACTCCAGCTTCATTGATAACATTATTACCCTCAGAAAAAAAATGCATTCCTAATTCTATCTACCTTTGAGCGGAGTTGGCATCCCTCTAAATGAGCACCCGGAGTTAAATTCCCCTAAACAGAAGGCAACGTCCAACCATTTGAATTTCATAGAGACACCTAGATCATGCATTGTACCGCTGGTCGGACAAAGTAAAACATTTCTCTTGACACAAGGGCCCTGGATGGAGATTGTAATGTGAATTTTAATGTGTAAATCAGTCACTAACTGTATTTTAATTATATTTTTATCTGCCACTGTAGTCCTCATATGAGGACACTGTTCATATTGCCCTGTCAATGTCATAAAGAGCATAGACTTGAAGAAGATAATTGTTTTTATTTTCATAGGTGACTGAAGCAATATTTTATTGAATTAATGGAAATTCAGCAAAACACCACAAACCAAGAACTTTGGAAAATGAAGCCTAGGAGAAGTCTAGAAGACGATGATTATTTGGTAAAATAATAATTAATTAAAATTCATAAACATAACTCAAATGCTATTTGATATCTCATGGTCTGTAAAAGTGATTTTTTCACCCTCTCCTGCTGACTCCTTCACTAATTCATGTCACTGACACCGTGATGGGTGCAGGCCAGGGACATATAGGAGAGAAATTGTACCTGGACTGGCTGCCATGCACTTAGCTGAATAGCCTTGAATGAGTCGCTGAAAATCCTGGGTCCTGGTCTATCTGCAAAGTGAGAGACTTAGACATATCATCTCCCTTCCAATGTTTTCTAACATTCAATGAGTATGTTTCAAAAGAATCGCCAGTGCGCCCATATGGCAGTTGTGCAAGCATGCATTTTTAATGGGCACCAGGGCAGCTTGCCGAGAGATCATCAAGTTAATTAATGATTCACTGTTTAACCAAATGCATAAGAACCACTGGTCTACTTTTCCCCACCTCAAGATAAAATGTTTCTGACTACGTTATATCAGCTGAAAAACTGACGGAAACTTTTTGTTTTAAACTCTTTTACCTTACTAAATAATCTCAGCTGCAGTTTTAACAGAAATTATTTATTTTGCCTTAATTGTTTTAATAAGCAAAATAATTAAGATATTATAAGCACACGCTCTATAAAATAAGTGTACATGAAATGAAATCATTTTTTTCAAGCTAACTGCCCTACTTCCTGTTCCATAACTCCTCACCCTGAACCAGAAAATTGGTCTCAGTTGACTGTACTTAGATTATTTTAATATGAAGAGATGACAGATGCTATATCCTGCTTAACTCCCTTCTAAGTGGAATAACTGGAAAAGACATTGATATAACAGTGATTTATGACAGGAAGTAAAAGTCAAATGTTGAGAGGTCATCTTTAAACACCAAAAATTATAGAGAACTATGTGGAATAAAGTTACCATGAATAACATGAGGAGATGAGAACAAGTTAATCACTAACTTTCAAGTATTAAAATGCTGTGGTTCTACATATAGAGCTTTAAGAAATGAGTATTGGGTGAAAAAGTAAATTTATTCATAAAGTAACACAAGAAACACTGATATAATTTCTCACTTTGAATTTTGTGGGGGGGGGGGGTTAATTTGCTGATATCTCAGTCAGTTGTGGAAATGAGAGAGTATTCAACGTAACCTTCTTTGGAATTGTTGACTAACTAGAAATACAACTGAGGAAAGAAGTATAATTTTCTCAGGAAATAGATAATCCCTAGGGGATTTAACTACTTATATAGCCTTTGTACTTCTAATAGACTGTTTGCCTGTCATTAAATGCACCAATGAGATAGTTTAGTAATATAAAATCAAAGTTTATAACTACTGTGATGGAAATTATAACCTTTTTCTAATAGTAATGACCATATTAGTTCTAATCTTTTGCACTTGAATTAATGAGGAATTCATTCTTCAGTTTCTTGCCAGGAGTTGCCCAGTAACCAATAAAAATATTTTAAAATACACACAACTGTTACAATTTACAACTGTTACTATTTTTTACCTAAGATCACTGGATGTTTTTTGTTTTCAATTTTAGTTTCCCAGTTGCATTATTGCATCCTTTAAGGCAGAAGCACATGGCCTAAGCCAGTGGATGGCAAAATTCATTAGCCAACAGAGCCAAATATCAACAGTACAACAATTGAAACTTCTCTTGAGAGCCAAATTTTTTAAACTTAAACTTCTTCTTCAAGGGCCCAAAGAACCACATGTGGCTCGCGAACCGCAGTTTTCCGACCACGGGCCTAAGCTTTAGTGGAGATATCTGAAGCATGTATTTATTTTGAAAAATAAGTAACACAAATTAATAGAGAACCCCAAAGTAGCTACCTGCACCGTTAATCAGTGCTACACAGACTATGCCATCTCTTCAGCTAAAACCAGTATCCTAAAAGCAAGATTCTGAATGTCCATTTTAACTGAAAAGCGCCATGTGCAATAAGTCATTTGTTTAGGGAAATCTGTTGTTTAAATTTTAAGATGTCTTATTTCTTTTCTCCATAGAATAAGAACGCAGGAGAGAACAGCATGCTGAAAAGATCTGTGCTTTTGCCCTTGGACCAAACAACCCGTTTTGATGACTTTGACTGTCCCCAAAAGCTTCCGCACAGACAGGAGCTCTTCCCCGAATGGCGCTTGCCAGTTAAAGTTGCTGCTGTCCTAGCATCTCTGGCTTTTCTCTACACGCTTCTGAGGGAAGTAATTCACCCTCTCGTAACTTCCCATCAGCAGTATTTTTATAAAATTCCAATCCTGGTCATCAACAAAGTCTTGCCAATGGTTTCCATCACCCTCTTGGCCCTGGTGTATTTGCCAGGTGTGATAGCAGCAGCTGTCCAGCTTCATCATGGAACCAAGTACAAGAAATTTCCACATTGGTTGGATAGGTGGATGTTAACAAGGAAGCAGTTTGGGCTGCTCAGTTTCTTTTTTGCTATCCTGCATGCAATTTATAGTTTATCCTATCCAATGAGGCGATCCTATAGGTACAAGTTGCTGAACTGGGCCTATCAACAGGTAGGATGATGAGATCGACATACCACTAAACCAAAAAGTCTTAAGTCACCTAACAGATTAACTCTTTGTCATGGTAATATCCACACCTCAAACCCCGTGCTGAGAAAGTAATCAGCATTTTAACAATGTTTTATTATTAACCCTTTATTTGGGCATGATTGTATAGTTGTACATCGAGGAATTTATTTTAAGCTGAAAATTTAGACTGCAACTTTAACAACATAAAAAATACTGTGTTCCTGGACACAGCCACATTTCCATTTTCTACCACCCTCACAAGATTACTTTTAATGCTCATTTTTCTTATTCTCTATTTATTTACCACGTGTGCATGCACGTCACAATTTTAACCAAAATTATCATATACATGAAACAGTTACATCAGTGTTGCATTCAAGAACGTGATTGATAGTTCCCATGTCATTCTTCCAGAGGAATGCAAAAATGAGTCATAAGTGTGTAGAGGACCCCAGTTATCGGGCCCTCCATAGCAGCCAGAGTGAGTGTAGAAGGGGGTTTGTGTGTGGTAACTACGTGTTCTTTACACTCATTCCTCTTCTCACCCTCTGGTAGGTCCAACAAAAGAAAGAAGATGCCTGGATTGAGCATGATGTTTGGAGAATGGAAATTTATGTGTCTCTGGGAATTGTGGCACTTGCAATCATGGCTCTGTTGGCTGTGACATCTATTCCATCTGTGAGTGACGCTTTGACATGGAGAGAATTTCACTATATCCAGGTAAAAGATGCATAAAATGCTTCTGTTCCCTCAAAGAGGTCAATCTTTTTGTGCTTATATGATCTAGTATACTGACTTTACCCCATAAAAAATAGCAAATGGTTTGCCAGTAGCCAAGATCCTACCACTTGTTCCCATTAAAAGAGAAATATTTCTAACATTTAAAGTGTACTATACTGCTATCCATCTAATAATTTTAAATGTGATATTTTAGGAATTTAATATTTATGGGGTTTTTTACTTCCCCCCAAAAAATAAAAATATTCTCTTGCCTATCACCTAATTTTATTCATCCCTTGTAAGTTACATAGCTTTGTAATATCCCTAAAAAAGCATCTCTCCTTGAAATATGGAGTTATAGCTACCAAAGGTATTCCAATACCTAATTTTAAATTCTGCTTTTTCCAAGTTAAATTTTATGTAACTTACTCACTTGAAGCTTCTTAATATTCTTGGAATTCAAACTATTTCAGATTTACAGAGGTTAATCTCTTAGTAGTAGATTACACCATAAAAAGAGCTATGTGCCAGAATTCAAGGGGATTTATGTTAGACAAGATTTAAAGGACTGAAATTAATTAAGCCATAAGCACTGCCAAGATTGTTTAAATTATATAGCTTTACCTTGTATGGGTAGACATCTTTGTAAATTCCCACAAAAGCAGACATTCCCTACTACCCTTTGTACATGGTCATACATATACTCTCACAAACACTTTATCAGAACATCTGATTAGGCTGGAAAGTATGTCTCCATCTGAGTCATTCCACTGTGGCTTAGAGATGGTGCCATGTTTCCCAAGTGCAGTATTTGTTGATTTTGTAGGTTCAGCCATTGGAGTTCTCTGCTCCTCATTAAATAACTTTCTTCTTACATTGCTCTGCCTGCTGCACACATGCTAAACACCACTGTTCAGATCGAATCAGGAATTCAAGCACTGAGTCCCGACGACTAAGCCCATTTCACTCACTACATACACAACGCCTATTTCATAATACACTTTAGGTAAAATTAATCTTCAACAAGTCTCATGTGTTTTTCAGTTAATAACCTAGAAACTTCTCATTTACAGTCCAAGAACTGCTTATTCTCCAACTTATGTTGGAGACTTATATCTGAAAATAGAAACTTAACCATTTGAGTGTATTCATTAGGGCTATTCACTTACTGCTCAATAATTGTGAGCTGAATTTCTCCTGGCAGGCTAATGACCATTTTCAGTAAGTGAATAGAAGTTAGAAGTTATCTAGATGTGCTATCGTCAGGATGCTGTAAAATTATTTAGGTGAACAACTATTTTTAAGCAACTTTATCAAGATGGTGCCAAGTATCCCAATGCTTGAATTTTTCTCCACATCTTCATATCTTTATGTTTTATTCAAACATTGAAACGATTGTTGGTAATTTCCCACTTTATCAGAATGTTTTATTTATTTATTTTTTTAACATAAGCCAAGATCATTTGTTTTAGTATTCATATACCAAAATCAAAGTCAATCACTTTGGTTGCCTTTGCAAGTAATAAAGATCACTGAGGTCGAATTGATTTTCGCACTAATCTTCAATCAACTCACCACCCTTTGCTGAGCACCTAAAATGCACCAATCATTGTGTTGCTTCTGTAGGGGTCCTATGATGAGTAAGAGAGGCCCTGGTTTTAGATGTCTCTTGACAGGCAGAATTAAGGCGAATGCACAAGAGACAAACCATCACAATATAAGTGTCCTAAGAGAGATGAACAAAGTGTGGAGAAAAGGAAGACAGAAAGGAAGAGGGTTGTGAAGTTTCTTAATTTAAATAGCCTAGAGTCGGAGGCATTACCCACAAGTAGGGGTAAGGTAGGGACATGTTAAAAAGAACGGGAAGGTGTGAGTGGACATTGTTAAGAAATGTAATAGGAAAACCATTACAGATGAATGAAAGAATTTCCAAGCAACAGAACAGATCCAGATTAAGTAAGATGGAAAAACTTTTGGAACCAGTCTTCACCAAGATAATTTTTTTTTTTCTTTTGCAGAGCAAGCTAGGAATTGTTGCCCTTCTACTGGGCACAATACATGCATTGATTTTTGCCTGGAATAAATGGGTCGATATAAAACAATTTGTGTGGTATACACCTCCAAGTTTTATGATAGCTGTTTTCCTTCCAATTGTTGTCCTGATATGTAAAGCTATACTCTTCCTGCCATGCTTGAGAAAGAAGATACTGAAGATTAGACATGGTTGGGAAGATGTCACCAAACTTAACAAGGTTGAGATGTCTTCCCAGTTGTAGAATTACTGTTTATAACATTTTGTTCAAATTTAATATATTTCATCATAAACATTTCCAATTTGTATTTGCTTAATAAAAATGACCACTGAGAGTCTTAATTTATCTCTGTTTCTGAGTGATGACTTTAAAATATGTGTCTATCCTTTCAGAGTTGATTCGAAGCAAGAAATAAAATGATCTCAGTGCATTCTCTATGTTCAGTAAAGTTGAATAATCACATTTGATTTGCCAGACTACATAGCATTATCCTATATAATAAAAGCCTAGTATGCAAATCATCCCTTTGGGTGGTCATTCCACCAGGAGTTCAACCACTCGCCATGATGTGCGCTAACCACCAGGGGACGGCATGGAACATGGCGGGCATCAGTGATGCAGCACTGGCAGCTGGCAGCAATGGAGGCACTGATGGGCCCCGACAAGAGCGGGACTGCAGCAGGATGATGGAGCAGGTGAGCAGGCAGCACCAGGCCAAGGCGGGGTACCAGGCAGGGCTGTGGGGCTGCACGGCTAGGGGAACTAGCTGGGGCAACTAGCTGGGGCCTGATCTTTGCAGGCTACCTCAAGGGACCCCACCTGTGCATAAATTCATGCACCCAGCCTCTAGTAAATAATGAAAGGCCTTGAAATACCAGTACTCACTACTCACTAAAAGGTATCATGAGGCATGAAAAAAATGTATTATCTGAATCTACCACACAGGTATATACAGTGTTATGATTATTGTTAAAAGAACTTTCATTTTCCTGTAACTGGGTGTGATTCTTGGAACACCTATCTCAAAAACACACAAACTATGTCTACACAAGTAAAGCAGCAGAATAGTAACATTCGCAGCCAGGCAAAATAAAACCCAGGCTATCCAGGAGAAAAAGTCAATTCCATTTTCTCTACCCAAGTTATGTACCACTCAGTTTAACTTACCTTAATACACTGGCAAAAGCAGACCATGAATCAGTTCTCCAAGGAGCAAAATATACATCTACTGCCAGACTCTAACCCAACATCCTTCAGAGGTTTTTCATAATTAGCAAAACTAACCACAAACCTTCTCTGTTATATGGGTAAATTATTTATTAGGACCAATAGAGCTAATGGTACAGATTAGGAAAAACCATCAGTATGTTCATTGAGTGGAGTTCAGTTTTTTATTTATTTTTTGTTCTATTACAAATGATAGGCTAAAGAAGTCTTCTGGGTTATAAATTTGAATTTTATGCACAATTAGTGCTCAGATATTCAGAGACTTGTCAGCAGGTAGTGAAGAAAGGAGTTGAGAATAGCACAATTAGGAACAGAGCAGACAATATTTCCTTAAAAAATAATTCACCACAAGAGAAAAAGGAATCTAGGGCTCTAGAAGTGCAAACCAGATCCAGCAAGGGGACATTACTATGGAACCACTTAAGTTGACACATGTACCATAACTAGTACCATAATAAACCAGCCCTGCGAGGTAGCAGTTGAGTACCTGCACTCTCAACTGCATTGCAAGATGGCAAAGTGTCAGAATCTCCAGTAGTGAAGAAATCATGTTTCAACCTTCCCGTTACCAAGGCGTCATAGAGGCTGCAGCTTGGGAACAAGATTCCAAGCTGAAGTGGCACTTGGATGAAGCTGTCTAGGACAAAAGCTGAGTCCTTTCTCTGTTAGCCATTGTAATAAACAGCAACAGGCCTGTTCTGAAACAGAATAAACCCTTGGGATAATTCCCAGGAATAAGAGAAAATAGACTTACACAAAGGTCTTGGAAATAAAGCACAAAACTTAGAGATTCAATTTGAAAACTAGACCATCTACTGTTTGCATCTTTTCTGACTTTTTTACAATGGTTGTATAGTATTTTTATAAGCAGAAGAAAACAAAAGTCTTAAAAATATATTTTTTGCTATAAGCTTGGATTTAGTTTTACTCAATATTTATAGAATATATCCCATATACCAGTCCCAGTACTAAACAGAGGCTATCTATAATAATAAAAGCACAATATGCTAATTAGGCTGGATAGCCAAATGACCTTCCAGATGAAGCCAAAGCTGTGAGGGCCAAGCAAGTCACCCCAGCTGCCAGGGCCGAGCCTCTTGCACAAATTTCATGCATCGGGCCTCTAGTATCAAGATAAAAATGACCTCGTCCCTATTCACAGACACTAAGAGAAGACAATTTTAGCACAGCAATGTATTCTAGACTTACTGATATCACTAAGAAAAAGACCAGTTCCGTTTTTAAGGACAAAGTAAGGAAGTTTGTAAGATCAAAAAAAGTATTTGAGCTGGGTAACTATAATAATAAAAGTGTAATATGCTAATTAGATTGGACAGCTGAACAACCTTCCAGACATCATTCCAGATGTCCTTCTGGATGAAGCTGTGGTGACGGGAGCCGAGACAGAGATAGGTAGAGGTGATCAGATAGGCAGGTGGGCAGTTAGGGGTGATCAGGCAGGTAGGCAGAGTAGTTAGAGTGATGAGGCAGGCAGGCAGAGGGGGTTAGGAGTGATGAGGCAGGCAGAGGGAGTTAGGGGTGATCAGGCAGGCAGGCGAGCAGTTAAGAGCTAGTGTTCCCGGATTACAAGAGGGATGTCCGACTGCCAGTTTAGGCCCAATTCCACAGGGATCGGGCCTAAACCAGCAGTCAGACATCCCCCAAGGGTCCCAGATTGCAAGAGGGTATAGGTCGGGCTGATATTCTCCCACTCCCCCATGCACAAATTTCATGCACTGGGCCTCTAGTTAATAAGTAGGAGTCATTTAGATAGAATAGAAAAATACATACCATAGTGAGCAACATGGAGTTATAAAATGGTGGGATGACATGCTTTGGAAGGATTAGAGTCTTAGCCACAAGAATGTGAAGGAAACACCATATTGGGCAGAGATGCAGGCCAGATAGATCAACAAAATCATTATATCTACATATATAAAAGCCAACCAACCAGAACAGTGGAACAACTGGACCAGTCACTATGAGGCACACGGCAGCAGCAAACCAGCCCAATGGGGGCACAGCCCCCCCCCCAACCTCCTGCAGCTCCTCCCCCTGGCCGGCACTGGCCCTGATTGCTGCCCCCGCACCCTGATCAGGGGCAGGGCCAACTCCCGCATCCTCTTCCCCCTGCTGGCCCAATGGGTTTGATGGAAGCCAAGGTGAAAGCAAGTTGGAAGGCTGAAAGACTACGGAGACAATGCAATGTCCCAGGACAGAAACAAGTTATTAGATGGAGGTCATGGCAGAGAGAATGGATAAAACAGTAGAGCCAATACAAAATGATAGAAGAAAGAAGTTCCATGAATTCATGAACAATAGAACATGAGGAGTGAAGGAGAAAAAGGCATTTAGAAAGGAACTTCTAGGATTCTGTTAGCTTCCATGACTTAAAGAAATGGCATTAAATAGGATAGGGGTTCCTACAGGAGCAGCAGATGTTTTTAACCTCAACAGATTTTTTATTTTAACAAAAACAGATGTGTGTGCTGTACGTTGTATGCTGTTTACAATAATCTCAGTTGCAAAGGGATGCAGTGTAAGGTTTTTGTTTCAGCGTGCACAAATGTAACTGTGAAGGACAGTGGGAAGAAAAAAGAAAGTACTTCTTTGCCCTTTTTTATTGTAAAAACAAAAATTATTGATTTTTTTTTAGAGGAAGGAAGAGGGATAGAGAGTTAGAAACATCAATGAGAGAGAAACATCGACCAGCTGCCTCCTGCACACCTCCTACTGGGGATGTGCCCAAACCAAGGAACATGCCCTTGACCAGAATTGAACCTGGGACGCTCTATTCACTGAGCGAAACGGGTTAGGGCAGTTGCCCTTTAGATAAGATGATTTTTTTTTTTTAAATAAAACTTCTGATACAATTATGACAATTGTGGAGGATAGTCACACAGTCTCCCAGGAACACGAAGAGCAGCCCCGAGAATAGCCACTGGCCAGGAATCAGAGGCCTTCCTTCCACACACACAGCTTCGTTTTCTCCTCAAAAGGAAGTCTGTCTGGGGTTTATTTTCTTTAAGCAATTCCTTCATAGGAATCTTATCATCTTTATTGTTGTTGTTTAAAAAAAAAAAAAAAAAAAAAAACAACCTGTTAAAATGATGTCCTTTTTCTACTTTACTAATGAGTCACATTTAATGTTGTGTAAGACAATAAAAAAGAAATTTATGATTTTGCTCTGATTTTCAGATGGTAGCTCACGTGTCTGAGGAAGCCTATAAGAAGTTGTGGCCTATTAAGCATGGGATCTGTAAAACTAAGCATACAAATGAATAAGAAAAATATTAATATGTAATTTTCATTGATAAAATTAAGCCTGGAATTTTCTTTCAAGAAAATGAACAAGATGTCGTAGCTCCTTTTCCTAAACCCAGTCTTCAAAGTGAAAGTGTTAGTCAGAATTCCAGTTTGGATTTAATGTTAAGTTTTACTCAGTTAACTGGAAGTCCTCTTTCTTGATGCCATTTTTCCCCCAGATTTTATCAAGAGACCCTTTGAAGAAGTAATAAATTATTTGATCTTCTATTTATTGAAAATAGCCCTATAATTGAATAAATCAATAAATCACTGACGTGTAACCATCACACATGTCCTGAGGCTAAAGTTCAGTACCTTCTTCTTCTCAGCTAATTCTACTTTTTCATCTGGTCAGGCCTCACTCACATTTATGGCTGATGTGTATGTGACAGCCCCGCAATTATTACTGGATGTCCATTGGAGCTGTGCCAAGAACAAGTTGCCCCTCCACAGAGCTATAAATAAAATTGTTGAACTGATGAGATCTCATGAGTTTGTGAATTCCTCACCCAAGGCATGACCCCACTGAAATGAGGCTCCCTCAACAAAATGGCTGTATTTCTAAACAACATTGAAGAGAGAGGAAAGAAAGGAAGGAAACATAAGTGCCAAAATTGTATTGGAGCGGAAGCTGTTGATCTTAGAAGCATTACGACTTCTGCACCTCTACTGGACCAGAGTAACCGACATGACAAGGTCTTCTGAGAGAGAACCGGGAAGATATTGATAGTTAGGGGGTTATAATGACAATATCATAATGGCTGACCCGTGCCTGGACATATGACCTGGGCAGTGATTTCAGGCCTACC